GAACCCGCGACCCTCAGACTGCGAGTCGAGCGCCATGGAGGGAGGGAGGGGTCAGATCTGAAAAATGACCCCCACGTCATTTTCCTGGGGTTATAGGGGACAATTGGTCAATCGGTTCACCAATTGTAATCGTACACACACACACACACAGAGAAGAATTTGTCAAATAATGGTTTAGATTTTTAGATCACTAGATATAGCCCTCAACAGCTGCTGTAGCCCTGTTTCTAGAAACATATATATAAAAACTAGTTTTCAGTATCATCATATAAAAAAAAATTCTTAACGAGAGAAATTATGGTCGTTACAAAGTTAAAAAAATACGCCCAAAAATGTTTAACAAATTGGAAAACAATAACATAGAAAAAAAAACAACAATGCTTCAAAGAACGTGCTTAACAGCAATAAGAAGTATCCTGAAAAAATATCCTAAAAAAACCTCTTAATTTCGTAGACAGCAAATACTGCAAGCTTAGCTTGCCCACGACGACCAAGGGCGAGGACAAATCAATTAAAAACAAAAACAAACTTATACCCCTGATAAAGGCAAGTTATCCTTCGGAAAGTATTCGGATTATTGGGTTTCTTTTCTGATGCAATTTTTTCCTGCTAATGCTACGTGCTTTGGAATATCATGGACATGATAGTTATGCAAACAAACAAAAAATCTACATACTTATATACTTATTTAGGTTGTTTTATAGAAAAAAGTGTCTGTAGTGTCCTCCGAGTACTTTTGGGTTGATCAGCAAAAAAAGTTAAAACTCTTAAGTGTAACACTTTAAGATTCAAAAATGTTTTTGTTATTCTTATATCTAGTTTTTATTCATGATTAGTATTTTTATTATTGGGATTTCAATGCCGTTTTTATTGGTATTTCAATCCTGTTTTAATGGTATTTCAGTGCCGTTTTTATAAGTATTTCAATGCCGTTTTTATAGGTATTTCAATGCCGTTTTTATTGGTATTTCAGTGTCATTTTGATAGGTATTTCAATGCCGTTTTTATTGGTATTTTAATGCCGTTTTTACTGGTACTTCAATCCCGTTTTTACTGGTATTTGAATGCCGTTTTTATTTGTATTTCAATGCCGTTTTTATTCATGTTCACAGTAGGTTCTAAGATAAAGAATAAAAACCGTGACATGATAAAATACCGTGTGCAGGTTATTTTATCACTCGTCCTTAAAAGAACAAAGTACTTAAACAAGAATCATGGTCTAAAACACGACAAACCTTGATAATCTCAAGAACTGGAATTTTCAAGTCCAGTGACTTGACAGACCTAACGTTCCAATCTAAATACTTGGGTTGTGTACCCTACGAACACAACGTATAGTGCTGTTCACGTGAAAAGTATATTGTCTGAGACAAATAACCCAGCAATACATTGTGGGATCACAATTCTTTGATGTAAAGTTAAAGGAGAATTTCAATCGCAACTAGCTCTGGTCAATTTTGGAAAATCATATCGAAATATTGTATACTTAGTATTTTTTGTTTTATTAAAATTAAAAAACAAATTCACACAAGCATGAAAAGTTTAGTAAAAAAATCACTTTCACTTTTATTTTATGACAGAGTGCAGATAGCTCAATGTGTTCTTTTGCACGATGAAGAAAAAACCCCCAAAATCAACAAACTTTTATGAAGAACAGTACACCTCACTCAGTAATAGATTTCCTAACGAGTATTAATTATAAATTGGTGACTACACAAAAGGAGGGATATGTATAAAGATAATTATTTATAATAGATTCCCTAACGAGTATTAATTATAAATTGGTGACTACACAAAAGGAGGGATATGTATAAAGATAAACAAGTATTAATTATAAATTGGTGACTACACAAAAGGAGGGATATGTATAAAGATAATTATTTATTGTAGTCCGACTTCTCTAATTTCAAGAAAAGTTATATTGTTTATTAAATGCTGGTTGAAAAGAAATAGCTAGAAACATAAATGAATCGTGATGTTGGGGAATAGAATGGAGTAATAAAGCAACACGGTCAAAGATATATAATTCAGCGTGTGATTAGCGACCCAAAAGCAACTGTGCTTAAAGTGTTCACTTCTATGTACCATTCTTTTTACTAAAGCGTAACAAATGAGTAGTTAAAGATATTTGTTCAATTTTTTTTAGAACTTTCGCGCAAAGCTACACAAAGGCTATCTATCTATAGAGGGAAGGCAACGAGTCGACAGCAGTCATCGTCGACTCTTGGGCTACTTTTGTCTGACCGAATAGCGAGAGCCCGGCATGGCCAGGTGGTTAGGGAGCTCCACTCGCAATCTGCGCATAGCGGGTTCGAATCTCCCTCCCATCAAATATGCTCACCCTTTCAGCTGTGGGGGCGTTATAATGTGACGGTCAATCCCACTATTCGTTGGTAAAAGAGTGTCCCAAGAGTGTTGATGACTAGCTGTCTTCCCTCTAGTCTTACACTGCTAAAGTAGGAACGGCTAGCGCAGATAGCCCTAGTGTAGCTTTGCGCGAAATCCGTAACAAACAAACAAACAAGCATTATTTTCGTTTCCAAGACCATGATTATAATGATTCATAAAGTTATTGTTAAGAATGAAAAGTAATGGAAACACGACTCGATTTGACTGCTGTAAACTAAAACCATCACAAACGGTAGATTAACTCTTAAAACCATGATATCATTGTGTTTTCTTCACGTAATGTCATTCGATATCACTTTCAATTGTTAAGTTTAAAATTATGAAATGGAAATAGAACAGCTTCAAAATGACGTTTTCAAGTAGATTAACTTTTATACCATGATATCATTGTGTTTTCTTCACGTAAAGTCATTCGATATCACTTTCAATTGTTAAATTTAAAATTATGAAATGAAAATAGAACAGCTTCAAAATGACGTTTTCAAGGTAAGTATTAATTAATCTTTAGAGACTGAGAAGACAATATACTTTGGTATTTATTGATTAAAACAGTCCAATCAATTTTAGAATTCCCTTCACCAAACAAAAATAGCATCCGGTACTTAGCCAAATATAATGTATATATGACGTAAAATGTTCAGGTGTTGAAATAAAAAAGAAGCACATATAAACAGAGTTCTGATAGGTATTACACATTACAAGCACATGACTTCCACCTACACATTACCCTAATAACCATGTCTGCTTAATATTCTTCTTAAAATGTACGAGATGCTTTTTTTACAAGATAAAATCAAAAATAACTTAGATTTTAACAAATTTGTCCCCCAGTTGGTCGTCAGTAAGTGTACGGACTTACAACGCAAAAATCCAGAATTTGATTCTCCGTGGTAGACAGTGCGCAGATAACTCATCATGTAGCTTTACGTGAAAACAAAAACCAGTTAACAAGTTTCAGCTGAAATTTATTTACTGTTGGTGCAATGATCATTGCAGTAAATTATGAGTTTCTTGAGTTAGTTTTTGTTATAAAGAGACCGTTACATTTAGAGCATTAAGTCACTCATGATTGTTTGTTTGTTTGTTTG